GATATGAATGAATAAAAAATTTTATTTCTGTTCTTAGTCACTCAGAAGCAAAGGGAATGCCACACAAAAATATCTCTAAGGCAAAAATTTACATTCATTCCAGAAAACACTTAGTTTAACTTTGGAAAAATTTCCCCCTTTTCCCTGTATTTGTTAATAATAATAATAACAACAACAGCAGCAGCAGCAATAACAGCAGCAGCAGTAACCACAACCACCTACTAACTCTTTTTCCACTGATTAGCTGGTAGATATCTACAAAAAATTATCTTGGAAGATTTTCTTGCCTAATACATAGATTACTGACTTTTGTAAGCTTGAAAACACTTTGTATATTTATATACACTGTGCAAATTACAGCACGAAAGCTTTGCCAGTATTTTTGTAATAGTCAAAATGAACAGGTCTCATTTTTTTTCTGTTTTTATTAAAAATAAATAATGCTTTCCAATGGAAGTATAAAAGCACTGGGTGATTGTGAGAGTGCTGTTGCAAGTGGGTTACTGGATTGTGTAATACTCTGGGATACAGATGCAAAGTGTGGTCTAGGACATATTGAAGTCAAAGAAAATATTTCTTTTTTTTCTTCCTGTCAAGTGGTACTTTATTGGTTTAAATTTTCTCAGTCAGATTCATAGACTAATAACAAATAATCATAAATAACGAATTATCCTCATCCTAAAATGGAAAGACAATATACACTTTTCCTGTCCTCCCTGAAAAGGTTAACCATTTAACTCTTCACATCTGATGGTTGTGCTCAGTAAAGGACTTGCTGTCATGGGCAGAATAATTCTAACAATAATATTAAATTAGTGTTTAAAAATGTCTGTTGTGTTTAAAATTCCATATTGAAATAAATTTTATTCTAAGTCAACTTCATTTCTTCTTAGAAGCTAATATTATGCTCATAAAAGATACACAAACTTTATCCATTGTAATTCTGCCCTTGACACTTTAAAGAATGTCCAAATTATGTGGTATGGATCATAATAGAGAATAATATATTACATATATAATAAATATAAATATGTATTTATAGATAAAGGTATTATCTAAAAATTAAGTAGGACAATATATAGTGTATAAAGAACCTGCAAGTTTTATATAACATAAGTGTACATGTGTGCATGTAAATACATTTTGTTTGGTACAGTGGAAATTGATTTAGTTACTGAAAGAAAAAATTTTTGGTTGTAGTGTTTGGAAAGCTAATTGACCTCGTCTATGAAGGATTTTCCTAGGCTTATGTCTATGCTTCTTACCTTTTGAAAAGTGGTGGTGCCCCTGATTTTGGAGAAACCCCTTACATCAAAGACTACAAATCAATTCTCATGATCCTGGAAACAAAAGTTTTTAAATTAAAGGCTACTGATGATTAAGAGTATTAGTTTAGCTCCAAGCTACCCAATAGAAGTACACCATAAGCCATGTGTAAAATTTTTAATTTTCCAGTACTCACGTTAAAACAAGTAAAAAAAATTTTTTAATAATGTATTTTACTTACCAAAATCGTATTGTTTCAGCATGTATTACGCATTTTAAGAAACTGAGTTATTTTCTTTTTTTGTGCACACTAAGACCTTTGAAACCAGTGTGTATTTATACTTACAGAACATCTCAATTCGTACTAACCACATTTCAAAGGCTCAGGAGCCATTGGTGACCAGTGGCTTGCATGTCTCGGCCATTTCTTAGCATTTCAAAGGAAGTAGGTTTACAGAAATAAAGATGTCACTTTGTTCTGTTGTTTTTCTTTGTCCAATAGGAATTATGACCTTTTGATTTAGGTTTTATTTATTAATTAATATACATGCTTAAAAGTTACAAAACGACACATTTAAAAGCAGTCTTCCTCCCAGTGCTGTTTTCCAGCCTCTCCACTCCTTCTCCTGGAGGCAAAGTATTATCGCCAGTTTCAGTGTATATTCTCCCAGAGCTGCTTTTCTTTAGTTTGGTAAACGTACAGGCTGTGGCATCCTTACACATACTGTTCTGCAGCTTGTTTGACTTCATTTAATTACCTGGAAATACTTTATATGAAAATGTAGGTTGTTTCCAAACTTTTGCTATTGCAAAGTATTGTGCATACATTCTTTAACACATATATATGGGCATATTTGTAAAATAAGTTCTTAAAACAGAAGAATCAAAGAAGTTTCTGTGAAATTCTACAGATATTGCTAAATTGTCCTCCATGGTATTTGTATTACTTTTGAGTCCTGAGAACCATGCAAAACATGTCTGTTTCCCCACATGCTTGCCAACATAGTGCATTATCAAAATTTTTCTTCTTTGCCAATTTGAGGAAAGAACTGTATCTCGTTGCAGTTTTAATTTCCATTTCTTTTTACAAGTAATAATGGACATCTTAAAAATATTTCAGAGCCATTTGCATTTCATTTTCTGTGAACTGTCCACATCCTTTGCTCATTATTTTTTTCTTCAGTGGTTGGTCTTTTTCCTGTCAGTTTGTATGGGTCCTATATATTACATTTTATGTACTTCTAACTTTGCTTATTGGTTTATTTTTGCGTGCATAAATTTTACTGAACTTTCTCATCTTTTATGGCTTCTAGATTTTTTTGTCACAAAGAACTTACCCAGTCATTAGGTAATTTTTTTTTAAGCTTTCTCAGGTTGTTTTCAATTTTCTTAGGGTTTTGTTTTCCACATTCAGATGTTAAATCCATCTAGAATACATTTTGGTGTCAGATATAAAGGACAGGTCCAACTTTATTATTTTTCTCAGAAAACTGTCCAGTCGTTCTAATGTATTTATTTGAAATGCCATTGTTACCTTGCACCATATTTCTATGCATGTTTAAATCTATTTCTGGACATTCTATTCTATTCCATTGGTCTTGTAAATACTGTATTATCTGTTGATGTGTAAGTACAAGCTGCTTTAAGTACAGTTGAGCTTTTGTTGCCTTTTAATAGCTTTTAATTTGGTCAGTGCCCTTCCCAGGCCACATTACGATTCTCTTCCAGATTATTCCTGGGTACCCAGTTTGCTTATTTTTTCACATGAACTTTAGAGACAGCTTCTTTAATTCCTCAGAACATTCTGCTAGTGTCTTTATGAGAGTACATTAAATGAATAGATTAATTAATTTGACAGTTACCCAGGAACATATACCTTTCCACTTGTTTTGTTTTTATGTTTGTGTAACCCTCAGTATTGTTTTAGAGTTTTATTCAAATAGGTCTTTCACATTTCTTTTTAAGTTTATTCATAATGTTTTAAAAACATCTTTTTCTATTATAGTATTTTATTCCACCAAAGCTTCTGACTGGTTGTTGCTTTTATATACCAAGGCTATTGATTTTTTTCTTCAGCTACTTTACCGAATTCTCATCAACTGTAACAACTTTTCAGCTGACTCTCTTGGTTGACCAGTATACAGTCTTATTATCTGCAAATGATAACTTCAGTGTTGCTTCCCAATGTTTATTTCCTCCTCTGTTTCATTTTTCTTAGTAAGCAATGGCTATTTTAATAGAGCTTTTTTATAGTCCAAAGGGAAAATAATTTTTTTTCCACTTACACCCCTAGAATAAATTTAATGAGAAAACCTCGGGGAAAATAAAGCATGGTTGTATCATGAATGGGGCAGAACTGACTTTCTATAATACATTATTTTGGGGTTTTAGTGCCCATTTCTTCCTGCTTTCCCTAGCATTTGGGCTTTGAAATCTCCATTGGTATTGGTCTCAGAAATGTTTGAATAAATGAAGAAGAAATGATCTAATCACAAGATGAGCAAATTTTTATCAATCAAGTGAAGCTGGATGCTCACTCTATACCAAGTACAGAAATTAACAGAGTAGGATATTTTTAAGGAGTTCACAGTCCTGTTAGAGTAAACAAAATATAACTGAGTGTGGTATGTTGAGCTGCAGATCATATACAAGATATAGAAGCAGCATAGGAATGGAAGTGATTAATTCTCTTGGAAAAATCAAAGAAGGAATCCTAGGGGAGGTGATGCCTGAGACAGTTTTAGCTGAACCCAGGAGTCACTGAGCAAGTAAGGGGACCAAAAAGGCATTCTGGGCAGATAAAACAACAGTGTGGAGGTCTGAAACAGCTTACCACACTTGAGAATTTATAAGCTGTTGTTATAATTGGAGTATAAACTGTGAGAGGAAGTAGGAGAACAGAAAAATAGAAAATGAAATGAAAAACCATTCACTATTAGTCAGGAGTTCTCAAAAGAAGTGGGCAGCCAGTGCCTGGAGAGGAGGACAGAATCACTCAGAAGGGGCACTTTGTGAACCACGCTTTCATCCCTTCCCCATCCTCTGGAATGTCAGCACTACTGGGAGCTTGCCGTATCTTTCAGGTGTGTTTGGGTAAAGAGTTTGAGAACTACTGATGCAGGCAATATGGCGTCAGTAAGGTGTTAAGAAGGGTATGACATCAGATTTGCGTTTTAGAACATTCCCTTTGATAACAATTTGAAGGGTCCTTGAAGGACTGGGGAGAGGACAGGTCTGGGCTTGGGAGAAGCCCTTTAAAAAGCTGTTGCAATAGATACTGAAACAAGATCATGTAGATCTGGCTACTAAGTGGCAGTGAAGAAAAGTCAAGAACTATATGAGAAATGGAATTGATCAAGCTTAGCAAGTGATTGGATATGTAAGGTGCTAGAGAAGAAAGAAAGGAGGTAGTCTTTATTGTTCTTAGCATTTTGACAAAGAACTGTTTGGGAAGGAAGTCGATGCTATTTACTAATACAGTATGAGGTTCCCCCTTTAGCTGGTGATTTTGGTCTTTGTTCTCTGTGACCATGAATATTTGAGAGTTGCTGGGAAGACAAGAGTAATTTCCTGAGTAGCTCCTGGTTGTGTCACTCTGAGACATGGAAATAAGGACCACGGTTTGCTTTGTCTAGGAGCTCCAATATTGTTCATGCCACGATGCTTCTCTAAGGTGTATTATTAGTGTTAGAAACATATTAATGTACTCTAATTTTTGTTTCCATGCTTTTTAGGATTCATTCAGAGGGCAGCCTTGTGGATGGCCCCGAAGCAAGCCTGATGGAACAGGACAGAACCAACCATGTTGAGGGCAACAGACTAAGTCCATTCCTGATACCATCTCCTTCTCCTGTTTGCCAGACAGAACCTCTGGCTATAAAGCTCCAGAATGGAAGCCCATTAACTGAGAGACCTTATTCAGCAGTAAATGGAGACACCAAGTGGCAGTCTTTCAAAAGTTACTATGGAATACCCCACATGAAGGGAAGCCAGAACAGTCGTGCGAGTCTAGACTTTGTACAAGAAGGTAGAGGGTATTCCAGATGTTTGCAGAATGGAGGGATAAAACGCACAGTTAGTGAACCGTCTCTCTTTGGGCTCCATCAGAACAAGAAACTGAAACAAGACCAAAAGGCTAATGGAGAAAGAATGAACTTCGGGGAAAGCCAAGAAAGAAATCCAGTCAAAGGCAGCAGTCAACCAAACGTCTCCGATGTGAGTGAGAAGAGAGAATCTGTGAGCTCTGTAGCCCAGGAAAATGAAGTGACAGGTCTCACCAGTTTTCCAGCACATAACTGCAGTGGGTCTGAAAATCCAGAGCTTCAGGTTCTGAGTGAGCAGGAGGGGAGAGATGTTAACTACCATGACAAGAATATTGTATTACTTCTTAAAAACACGGCAGTGCTAATGCCTAATGGTGCTACAGTTTCTGCCTCTTCCATGGAAAACACACACGGTGAACTCCTGGAAAAAACACTGTCTCAATATTATCCAGATTGTGTTTCCATTGCGGTGCAGAAAACCACATCTCACATACATGCCATTAACAGTCAGGCTACTCATGAGTTGTCCTGTGAGATCACTCACCCATCGCATACCTCAGGGCAGATCAATTTCCCACAGACCTCGAACTCTGAGCTGCCTCCAGAGCCAGCTGCAGTGGTGGCCGAGGCCTGTGATGCTGACAGTGTCAGTAAACCGGCTGCAGTGCTGGCTACCTGTCCCTTTCAGAAACCAGAACAGCAAAATGCAGTTTTTGAGACCTGCCCAGCTCCGGCAGAAAATGGTAACATCCCAGGAACCACACAGCTAGCATCTGGTGAAGAACTCTGTTCAGGTTCCAGCAGCAATTTACAGGCTCCTGGTGGCAGCTCTGAACGGTATTTAAAGCAAAGTGAAATAAATGGTGCTTACTTCAAGCAAAGCTCAGTGTTCACTAAGGATTCCTTTTCTGCCACTACCACACCACCACCACCATCACAACTGCTTCTTTCTCCCCCTCCTCCTCTCCCACCGTTTCCTCAGCTTCCTTCAGAAGGAAAAAGCACTCTGAATGATGGAGTTTTGGAAGAACACCATCACTACCCCAACCAAAGTAACACAACTCTTTTAAGGGCAGTGAAAATAGAGGGTCAGCCTGAGGCACCACCATCCCAGAGTCCTACTCCATCCACACACATATCCAGCTCCTCTCTGATGCTTCCAGAAAGGCCTCAGAATAATTGTGTTAACAAGAATGACATATGGACTCCAGGGACAATGACCGTTCCATCGTGTTCTGAGAAAACAAGACAAGTGTCAGAACATCTCAAGCATAACCCACCAGTTCCTGGTAGCAGAGGAGATCCACAAGACCACTGCCAGCCGATGACGGGACACAAAGAGCAAGAGATCCTCAAGGGTCGAGGTGAAGAACAAACACGAGACCCTGTGCTCCCAACACAGTCCTATCTGAAACCGGGATGGATTGAATTGAAGGTCCCTCGCTATCATCAAGCAGAGTCCCATCCAAAATGTAATGAGACATCCCTGCGGTCAATTCTTCAGTATCAGTCCAACGCCTCCAATCAAATGACCTCCAAACAATACACTGGAAATTCCAACACGCCTGGGGGCCTCCCAGGGCAGGCTTATATCCAGAAAATAATGCAACCAGAGCAGAGGCCACAAAGGTACCAAGTTGAGATGAATCAAGGGCAGTCTCAAGGTACAGTGGACCAGCCTCTCCACTTCCAAAAACCCTCACTCCAGGTGCACTTCTCCAAAACAGACCCTTCACCTGAATCTCACAGGCAGTCACTGTGTGCCCCAAGATTTCATATTCAGCAAAGACCAGAATTCCAAAGTGAGGAACTCATGGCCCCAACATTCAAACAACACTTAAATCAACAGGCTTCAGAGACTGAGCCATTCTCAAACTCACACCTTCTGCATAAGCCTCAGAAGCAGGCAGCACAAACACAACCATCCCAGAAGTCACCCCTCTCTCAAAGCCAGCAACAGCAGCAAACATTACAGATAAAGAATAAAGAACAAATGCCCCAGACTTTTTCACATCCCCAAGGCAACAGTGATCAGCAAAGAGAAGGATCATTCTTCAGCCAGGTTAAAGTAGAAGACTGCTTTCGTGGTGAAAATCAATATTCGAAATCAAATGAGTTCCAGACTCGTAGTACCCAAATGGGACTGGAGCAAGTACAGAATATGAAGAGTAGAAATTCCCCCTACGGTCAGATCTTGAAATCAAATGCAAGCAAAGTGCAGATTTCTTGTTTGAACAAGACACACCTCGTTCCAGAGAATAAAGAACAGGCTATACATTCTGAACTCTTTGCAGGAAACAAGACCCAAAACTTGCATCACATGCAGTACTTTCCAAATAATGTGACCCCAAAGCAAGACATTCTTCACAGGTGCTTCCAAGAACAAGAACAGAAACCTCAGCAAGCTTCAGCTCCACAGGGACACAAAAGCAGAAACCAAGATGTGTCTGCTCAACAAGCTGCACAACTCGCTCAGCAAAGGTACCTGGTGCAAACCCAAGCAAACGCGTTCCCTGTGCCCAGTCACGTGGGAAGTCACATTCAGACCCCGCCCCAGAAGGACATTCAAAAGCACGCTGCTCTAAGGTGGCACCTCTTGCAGAAGCAAGAACAGCAGCAAATACAGCAACTCCAAACAGAGTCTGGCCACAATCAGATGCACAGGCCAATTAAGGTCGAACCTGGGTCCAAGCCCCAAGCCTGTATGCGCCCTATGTCAGCACAGCCAGAAAACAAAACATGGAAAAAGATGCCAAAGCAAGAGATTCCACCTCCAAGCTGCGATAATGTGCAACAAAAGAGCATCCTTGAGACCATGGAGCAGCATCTGAAGCAATTTCAGGTCAAATCATTATTTGACCATAAGGCTCTTACTCTTAAATCACAGAAGCAAGTAAAAGTTGAAATGTCCGGGCCAGTCACGGTTTTAACTACACAAACCCCTGCTGCAGAACTTGAGAGCCACACCCCAGCTTTAGAGCAGCAAGCAACGCCTTCTTCAGAAAAGACACCAACCAAAAGAACAGCTGGTTCTGTTCTCAATAATTTTTTAGAGTCACCTTCCAAATTACTAGATACTCCAATAAAAAATTTATTGGATACACCTGTCAAGACCCAGTATGATTTCCCATCGTGCAGATGTGTAGGTAAGTGCCAGAAATGTACTGAGACACATGGTGTTTATCCAGAATTAGGGAATTTATCTTCAGATATGGGATTTTTCTTTCTTTTTTAAAATCTTGAGCCTGGCAGCAATTTGCGAAGGCTCATAAAAACCCAAAGCTTACATTTCTTGTCTTTGAGTTACCGATGCTTGTGCTGTGCTAGAGAGAACTTCACTTACATTCAGTTTTTCCAAAAAATTAAAACAATTGTACATGCTCATTATTCCTCTCCATTCAAATCCTTTAAAATATAAAGGTATCTGTTTTAGACTAATCAATTTACTTAACTCTTTGTGTACCATCTCCTGGAGAGACAGCCAGGCAGTAAAAAAGATCTGTTAAAATGACAAAACTGCCTGCCATCTGCAAACAAATGTAAAAGAGAGCTTTTAATACTTTTTCTAATTCAAGGTCGAATGTATTAGTCATTTTAGAAGATTAACTTCTAGACAGGGGGAGGTTATCATCTTCTGTCTTGGTGAGTCAGGGGAAACTGTAATGCTAAAGTTCTGAATACTCAAAGTTTTGCCTTTTCTCCATTTATACACTTGAAATATTGTGTAATTTATATTTATTTTGATAAGTTTCTTCTTTTTGATAGAAAATATGGTATTTCCCTTTCTTTTTTTTAAACAAGCACCTTTTTGTTAAAATTCAAGATACGTGCTAGGTCTGTTGGAATAGGGCAACTTTTTGCTGATGGCCAGAGATCTACATGAGAAGATCTTAACTATAGCCACTCAGCTTGGATACAGTAGAAGACATTTGTAAAAGCCAGTGTTAAACTCATGTGGCTGATGGTCCACACACTCCGTGGTATTCCTCTTACAACAGGACAGCCCACATTGTAGAGAAGGATGGAGGGAGGGGCCGTACTGCCCCTTTGTGTGTGGCTAATACTGTCGCCTCACTGGGCTAACGTGCCACACACAGTATTAGGTAAGTTTCACTCATCTTCACTCCCTTCTGTCACCCTAACCCTTGTTTCCCACCTGTCATCTCTGATAGTTTATAAGAGCTTCTTCCTTTTCTCTGACCCTCTCTCCAGTATACCTTCTCATTGTAAGTTGTTCTAAAGGACATATAAATAATGGGTCTGGATTCAGTGTTCTTACTTTCAAAACAGAGTAATTAAATGTTGTGGGGAAATAAGAGGGAAAAAAAATATCTTGACAATAAACTGAACAGTATCCTGGGGTGAGACAGGACAGGACATTTTCTTTTTAATCTTTTAACATCCAAATAGCAGGCAGGCTTCTAGTAAGCTGTAATTTTTTTTCAGTTTAAAAAACTGGATCATAGTTGATATTACATATAATATATTTAATTCCCTCAGTGTTTTTTTTCTGTCTAGTTCCACTTACGTGGTTTAAAATAATTCTTTATCCCATATCTGAAATGGAATATAATATATTTTTATCCAACAGGCAGCATGTACATATACTTAATTATTTGGCACATTTTTTTAATAGATTAGTCCATTCATTTTAAAGAAAAAAAATGTTTAAAGTCACATTTAGGGCCCTTAATGTGTAGTTGGGGGATAAGCTTTGTGGATGTAGCCTTTATATTTAGTATAATTGAGGTCTAAAATAATAATCTTCTATTATCTCAACAGAGCAAATTATTGAAAAAGATGAAGGTCCTTTTTATACCCATCTAGGAGCAGGTCCTAATGTGGCAGCTATTAGAGAAATCATGGAAGAAAGGTAATTAACGCAAAGGCACAGGGCAGATTAACGTTTATCCTTTTGTATATGTCAGAATTTTTCCAGCTTTCACATACAAAGCAGTAAACAACTGTAAACTGAGTAATTATTAGGAGGCTTAGCTATTCCAGGGTTGCCAACACTACACACTGCAATTCACCAGAGAGTCACAATATTTGACAGGACTAATAGTCTGCGAGCTGGCACAGGCTGCCCACTCTGAGATGGATGCCAGAAAACCCAGGCACAAACAAGAACCAGCCAGCCAGCCTGCCAGGCACAAGGGTGCTGGCACAGGCTGCAAAGAGAAGCCCTGCTCTGGCTTCCCCATCTGATGATAAAGTGTCCAAAAGTAAAGCAGGGAGAGGTGGTCTAAGAAGGGAACCACTAAGTTACACTCACCTACAGCAGGTGAATTGTAACTACGTTGTAAATGAGTAGTTATCTCTGAGGAGGTTGGCCATGAGTGTGAGCAGAGGGCAAGAGTGATATACTGAATAGAAATAGAGATCAATTCCATTTATAGCTGCATTTTTTTTCCTTACTGTCAATCACAGGTATGCAAGTATTTACCCGAATCTACACAGTTTCTCCTGCATGTAGAAGACTCTTATGAGTGAGATAATCAATACAGAGAGAGACTTTCATATAGGGACCCACAGCTCCGAGCTGTTACTACGTTAGGGGGCCTTTTCTTTGAGAGGTAGGCAGTGTTATCATTAAAATACGTTAGGAGACATTCTGGGCAGCAGGGACATATTCTATCTATATCATTCTTGCCCCATTTCCAAATTATTCATTTCTAAATTAGCACACAGAAATTCGCTGAATAATCATCTAGTAGCCTGGCAGAAATAGTGAATTTCCCTAAGTGCCTTTTTTTATTAGCAAACAGTAAGTAGTGCCTTGGCCATAAGGGAAAATATAATCTATTTCTAGAATTATCGTATATTTTCAAAATTGCTGGATACCAGTTATTTGCCAGCCTTTAAAAAAAATGAGAGATTCTTAGATGAACAGTGTTAACTAAAATCAATTATGATTCCCCAAGTTTTAAAACAGCTAAATTTAGTAAAGGACAAATCAAATAATATATATCTTAGAAGACTGAATTTAACAAACTTTAAAAAGTTTTGTGCTTTATGAAATTATGTATAAAAATCAGCTTTCCTAGCTCATTAAAATTATCAGTGTATTTTGATACTGAAGAAATACAAGGCTTAAAGTTTATTATCCAGTTTGCTTGGCTTAGATCTATTTTTTTTTTTAAAACTATTCATTTCTCAGGATGTGGTCATAGAATAAAATGATATTCAAATGTTCAATATTTTGGTTGCCTTAGATTCATTTGCTAATTTTGTGTGTGTGTGTGTGTGTGTTTCTGTGGATTTCTTTAAGGTTTGGACAGAAGGGTAAAGCTATTAGGATTGAAAGAGTCATCTATACTGGTAAAGAAGGCAAAAGTTCTCAGGGATGTCCTATTGCTAAATGGGTAAGTGTGGATTGACAAGCCTTTGGTCTTCAGTCTTGGGCTTTTTAATTCTTAATCTAACCCTGAGAGTGGGGTTACCCAGATCAGAGAGTCATTTATGCTAGTTTAAAGGAATATTGCTTATATTTATCAAGTGTTATCTCTTAAAAGCAGATTTGTTTTAAAAAATCATGTGCAAACTGTATTTAATTGAAAGAATTTAATGGTGAGGAAGAGGTCCATTCAAGTGCCTGCTAAAAGTATAATTCTCATGGCATGTGAGGAAGAGGTCCCTAATCTTTTAAACACCTGCAGTTAATCTTTATACTGTCATTTATGAAGACCTTAAACTTTATCGAAAAGACCTGCCTGTCTTCCATCTAGCTCTGGCTTTAAGGCAGGGAGCATTGCCCCCATTGCACTGGGTAGAGTCTCATCCACACTGAGTGCTTTCGCGTCCCTCCCGGTTCTGACCCCAGGGGGAGCCCCCAGTCTGCAGAAGGGGCAGCAAAGGGCAAGTTGCAGGTGCTGGTAAAGGTCGCCCTAATTGTGACCCAGAAGTGAGAAAATGTACAGACATCAATCAATGCTCTCATCGGCTGCAAGTGACCCTTGTTTTGTTTTGGTTGGGGTGGGGGGTGTTGGGGTGGAATGGTGACCCGAGCAGGTGGTCCGCAGAAGCTGCAGCGAGGAGAAGCTACTGTGTCTGGTGCGGGAGCGAGCTGGCCACACCTGTGAAGCTGCGGTGATTGTGATTCTCATCCTGGTGTGGGAAGGAATCCCACTCTCTCTGGCTGACAAACTCTACTCCGAGCTTACCGAGACGCTGAGGAAATATGGCACGCTCACCAACCGTCGGTGTGCCCTGAATGAGGAGTAAGTGAAGCCGGGGCTTCCCCGTCTCTTTCCACTGAGAGGAAAGCCTATTTGTTGGTTTGAGGGCGGAGAGTTGAACCTGCAGTTTTACATTTACAAAATAGAGATCCAAATGCCTGCTTCACAGTCATGCAGTAGGAACTTGTGTTTGCTAACTTGGAAAATCTGAGGCCATTTCATTTACTCATACTTTGTACCTTCAGACAGTGTAGCCATTAGCTAGAAGCAGTTTGCTGCAAAGTCTGAGTGTCTGTACCCAAAAACTCATAAACTTGAAAATATTCGAATGTCCCCTTGCTACAAGTGTCAACTGTGTTGTGTGCCTAGCCACCATGTTAGTAAGTATTGACACGACTTCTGTGTTGCAGTATCTGAAAAAGAAGGTAAGTTTGGTGAGAAACTTGAGGATTCCCAGGTCAAAGACCTTACTATATATGTAGCGAACGTAAAAATACAAGGCTTGTAGAAGTTCTACGAGAAACAGACTGATTTTGACTTCATTTCAATCTTGTTCATTATTTCCATAATAATAATCAAAATTGCTTCCATTTTTACTGCTAGTAAATAATCAAGAAATTAGTGGCTGTGGCTAGGCATTAGTTCCCAGGAATATAACAGTTTGGAATAGGAGAGCAAGGGTATGCAGCTGAATATATTTAGTACAACCAAGTGCTGTGTTTGTTTTGTCTGTGTTTTTTGCTTTTTAACCATCCATTTGTAGGAAGTTTAAATCTTCACTTGGATAAAGCTTAATTTTTAATTTTTCTTCTGCTGTGCTATTCCTATAATCATTAAAAGAATAGAGGAAAATTCACAGTGCTGCACTGAAATCCTACGTAGCTATTTTACTTACAGTGGGTACTAAAATAATTTCACACTTCTTCCTTTAGTCTCCTTTCTTCTGCATCCACCAAATACAAAATAGTTCACTGAGCTTATGGAGTTATGCTGCTGACTGCAACAACCCCTGGCTAACCAAATTTGTTCTTTTCTGACAATTACTCTAACCAGTGTGGTTTTGCTACGTATTAACATAGGTTCTCCCTCTGGGTCATTGGCGGGTAGGGGTGGGGAGTTGCAAGTCAACTACAAATAATCAATTTAGGGAAGTTACTTTTCCTACATGAAAGTGTGACTTGGCTTTCTGTGATAGTTAGGGTCCCCAGATTTCATGATGTGTACTCATAGCCGTAAATCCACTTTCACAAATATGTTGGGGGATTCAGTTTACCCTAATTTTCCTTGTTTCTTCTTCTAAAAATGTATTTGGATGCCTTTAATCAGAAAGAAAATGAAAGTTAAGGCACCTTGAGCTGATGTTGGTGATAGCGTTTTTCTTAGGAATTCAGTGACACTGCCTTGTTTTTGTAAAGCAGACTTCCTCTTAGACTTGATGGCTGGAACTTGTAAACCACTGAAGAACTTCTTGTGAAAATGACAGTTGTTGTTTTATTTAAATTTCTTGAAGTTTTGTGCATAGTCTATTTCACATTCTTTGTAATTGATTTAATTTTTACTATTACGTACATCTCTGATGTTTTTCCCTTGAAACCTTCTGATTCCTAGAAATGCTGTTGTCTGAAACAGAATTTCTTTCTCTACATCAGATTCCATGTTAAGAACTTTCCTAAATTATGTTATTTTGTATTTGGAAACCACGAACAATGACTGAGCTAAAGTCTGCGAAAAATTCTAATTTGTTTAACTGGTCTAAATAGGAGGCAAGTACAAAGCTATTAAAAGACGTGCTTTAAATAAGCATTTTAAAGGCCAATCTTTATACTTTTCCTTAACTTTGTCTAGAATTTCGAGATAAAGATGAGTAGTTGTTAGATGAAATTTTAATTTTGGGCTACTCATACATAGAGCAATCCTCCAAAAATAAAACAAAACAAAAAATATACTTGATACATGGTTCAAATAGACACTTCACCAATGGCATAGAGACTTGACTCAGATATAGCTTTTGAAGTTTCTTCTACACCATAAAATAAATTTTATGTCTGACAAAAGTCAAAATTATGTTTTGCCAAGAATGGAAGATAATCTCAAACTGGGGCTGCTGACTCAGTTTAATGTTTAAAGCTATGTGATGCTCATCACTGAGTTATAAATCCCTGTGCCCACATGTGCCATAACCACTGACTGGGAGTCCAGAAAAGAACTCCTGAGAGCATCTTTCAGTGGGAAGGTCAAAAATGGATTTTTACATTTTCTTTGAGCCACACCAGCTGTTTCTCTATTAAAGATTTCCCTTTGAGATTTCCATTTGATGACTAAGGCTAACCAATGTTTATTTGGCAAGTAAGAGTTGTGGGAGTGTATTTGTCGTTATATAGAGTCAAAGCCAGAAATGCCTCTGCCATGCTAGGTAATACTAAGCATTTTTTTTTAATATTTTTAATTTTTAAAAATTGAAGTACAGTCAGTTACAATGTATCAGTTTCTGATGTGCAGCACAATGTCCCAGTCGTGCATATATATACGTATTTTCACACTTTTTTTCATTAAAAGTTATTATAAGGTATTGAATAGAGTTCCCTGTGCTGTACAGAAGAAACATTTTTTAATCTATTTTTATATATAGTGGCTAACATTTGCAATCTCAAACTCCCAAATTTATCCCTTCCTACCCACTTTCCCTGGTAACCATAAGATTGTTCACTATGTCTGCAAGTCTGTTTCTGTTTTGTAGATGAGTTCGTAAGTGTCCTTTTTTAAATTTTTAAAAATTTTTTTGGATTCCACATATGAGTGATATCATATGGTATTTTTCTTTCTCTTTCTGGCTTACTTCACTTAGAATGGCATTCTCCAGGAACATCCATGTTGCTGCAGATGGCTTTATTTTATTCTTTTTTATGGCTGAGTAGTATTCCATT